TATCAGGAAATGGATAGACATTCTAGTCTTCTCGGATGAGGACGAATAAACCATAGGTCCTGTCTCCTGCAGGGTTGGGGTAGGAGACACTAATTTCCCACGCACGAGATCACTGTGTGGTGGGTGTCCTCCCCTGGGGTGGGATGGGTGGGTACTGGGCCCACAGTAATTGGTGCAAGCTGTTGCGGGGTCCTTGCCTGTCGACGAAGCTAATAAATTAAAATTAAATTTAAAAATTAATTATCTCTAATGTTCTCTGCTTTTTTCTTGTTCAATTACCAAGAAAAATGTTAAACTTTTAGCCTTTGAACCCCTTGTGGTGATGAGTACCTCATTTCTCTATACCCTGTTGCTACTGAATCAATTGTTAAGGTCACAAGAATACAGATAGATCACCTACTGAAGAAACGCATGATTCTTAAAAAGATTCTCGTTGGAAATGTGTGAAAAACAGTAGGGATTAATAGCATACTGATGTTTGAGTGTAAAAGACAAGAAGACAATATTTGTTTCCTCATACTTCTTAATCCCTGTTAATATGGTAATATGTGGCTCTGTTGTTAGGTCAGCAGAAATTTTCTTATATGCTACCGAAAATATATTTTTGAAAGATCAAGGAATACTTCCTAACCCCTTCTGAAATGTATGCCAGTCCATAGTTTGTGGAAATTTTAACCTGACAAATGAAATTTGGAGTGAAAAGATACAAATGTAAATCACAAAGGAATTTTTATAGATTGTGCATGGAACTGTTAAAAGCAAACCATTTTAATATTTTCACAAGAGAGCTGAATTCGTTTTTTTCTCTTTCTTTTTTTTTTTTCTCTACAGATTAAAACCAGCTAAAGGAGTACAGTTTGACTAGATGCAAAATTGATTTCTGTTTAAATCATATTCCAATTTAGTTTTTTCTTGTTACTAATTAGATTTTTTGAAAGCCAAAATTTTCCTCAAGAGAAATTGTACAACTGTACATTGTTTCAATCACCCCTACTGCAATTGATGTGTAAAAGAATATTTTTGAGAAATTAAAAACCTCCTTTTGCACTGCCCTGATTTAAATATTTCAGAGTGAAAATCAATGTACAGTAGACATACTATAAGTGATATAAAATGTAAAGAAATGAAAGTTCTAGTACTCTGCTTTCAAACCGTTATTACTGGTATTCTTTTGGATGCTTTTGTCAACTACTTTTTTGGCCGAAATAAGGACTTTCACAGCTATTGTTCATCTTCAGTCTTCTACAACATTTTTGTCTGAAAGGTGCTTGTTTGATACTATCCTGTTACAATTTTATTACGCTTTCAAGCCACCAAGTAAATTATTCCTCATAAAGAGGAAGTTGTCTTGATCTTACCTCAAATTAGGAGAATATGACTACAGATCCTTGGAAAAAAATGCTCTTTTTTTTTCCCAATGTATACATATCAATTCTCCCTACTTCCTGTCATACATTTCTTTTAATCTTAGCTCTGAGACTTGGATGCTTAATCATGAAATGTGCTCTGATTAATATTTTTCTTTCTCACAACATTTCTGCCAAAAAATCTGTTGACATAATAAGGATAGATTGTTGGCTAATTTTCTACCAGCTGGCTCTCTTTCATCCCATTTGCTGTTATCTAAAACTGTAAATAATTAAAATTCATTTGTCCACCAAATTTTATTAGTCATTCCTCTTGGCTTGAAAGTAGTATGAAATTTCTTAGAATTATGGTTGACACCCCCTTGTTTCCCTCTCGTTTTTTGTTCCCTTTTTATTGTTTTAACTTCAAGCTAGAAAATTATCGCTTAAGCATCACGAGCCATCGTACTACTACAAAAATTTAAACTTGTTTTCTGCCACTGATTTCAGTTGCCGAGTTTTCTTAAGTTGATGGTCATTTCAAATATTTTCTTATCTCTGTCTGAAGTTTGGTTAAGTGTCAGTGATGACATAGTTTTGTCTCTACTGTGCAAGTGTAAGAGCCATAAATAGGACAATAAACTAACTAGGTCTCCTACAAGATACAAACCTTTCCAAAACTAGAAATCACAATTGATTCCTGCCATTAAAATTCTTTGGTCTATTTATGTTTATTTTTTAACCCTTTATCTCCTGTGAGTGACCAAGACAGAACTTCGCCTTACTGTATCAATACAATATCAAGCAGACGAGAGATTAGAATAAAGAGAAATATCAATGAGGGGATTATTGGTCGATCTAGTACCAAATTCTCCAAACTAACATCATAAGAACAAAAGCTCATCTTTCAAACCGGCAGTCTAAATACCACAGGGATCAACAAACCCCTTTCATTCCACTAATTTTTCGTGTTTTTCTCGTTGCCATGTTCCCACCAATAACGTAGCTCCATTTTCTGCCTTTAAAAGCACACACAACCTGTGTAATGCCATGAGAACAGTCAAATAACATCTGGAAAGGAAACCATGTATAGCATCATCTGATAAACTTGCTATAATGAGAATTCATGTGCTGTTTTGCTACTTTTCTAGAGAAGCTGAGGTGGAAGTTGCTGATGGTCATAACACAGAACAAAATGTCCACATATCGGTTTTGGGAAATGATCAAACACTGGACATCTACAAATGCACAGATCCAGCATGTGAACATTTCTGTACCAAGACAAACAAAAGATACCACTGCCCTCTGTGCAACAATAAGCCACAGAAACCAGGCCGCATGCGCAGGCATTTTGAAAAGATGCACTCTGGAAAGCAGATTGTCCAGCATGAAGGCGAGAGTTACTTTAAACCATTAACTTGAACATCATTGTATGGTCAACAGATGGTGGAGAGGAGAGGAAAGGGGGGGAGTGAGGAATGGTGGGTGAAACAGGGACATGGGAAGAAAGGGATGGTGGGGGAACATAGGGATGAGGGATGGCAGGGGAAGAGAGGGATGGTTGGGAGAAAGAGGGATGGGGAGAGTGGAATGGGGAAGTGAGGGATGGTGGGGGAACAGAGGGATGAGGGAATGAGGGATGGCAGGGGAAGAGAGGGATGTTTGGGAGAAAGAGGGATGGGGAGAGTGGAATGGGGAAGAAAGGGATGGTGGGGGAACAGAGGGAATGAAGGATGGCAGGGGAAGAGAGGGATGGTTGGGAGAAAGAGGGATGGGAGAGTGGAATGGGGAAGTGAGGGATGGTGAGGGAACAGAGGGATGAGGGATGGTTGGGAGAAAGAGGGACGAGGAGAGTGAATAAGGAAGTGAGGGATGGAAGAGTGGAATGGGGAAGTGAGGGATGGTGGGGGAACAGAGGGATGGCACGGGAAGAGAGGGATGGTTGGGAGAAGAGTGGAATGGGGAAGTGAGAGATGGGGAAGAGTGGAATGGGGAAGAGTGGAATGGGGAAGTGAGGGATGGGGAAAAGTGAGTTATGGTGGGGGGAATGAAGGATGGTAGAAGAAGAGACTGAGGGATGATGGGGGAATGGGAAAAGGAAGGCCACATTTGACAGGAATAGAACTAAGTAGAAACAAACTAATCATCAATTCTGTGTTGTTCTTATCAGGACACCAAATGCTCCGCTGCAAGTTAAGATGTACCAAAGCCAATGGTCGTGTAACTGACAACTCACACTACCATTGCTGTCTGTGTGGAAGAGTTCTTGTTAGAAAAGTGCACCTTTACTGCCATCTTCAAGCCCATTCAGTTGGTAGCATGCGAGAAATAGATGAGCTTTTAGATGCAAAAGATGATACAGAAGAAGGACCCATAGAAGATGCCGAAATGGATGATGATGATGATAATCATACTACTTTGGATACTTCACAGATCACAGCACTGGAAGGTTCAGAACAAGACAATGTTGTTGCATTATCTGATGGCACACAGGTAAATATATCTTATTAATCAAGCCCGAGGTCCGTACTGGGAGAATATCGGCCCGAGGTCTTGACAGTACGGACCGAGCGCAGAGAGGTCAGTACAAAAAATACCGAGGGCCGATATTCTTCCAGTACGGTCCCAAGCAAGCTTGGTTAATAAGAGATTTATTATACGACTGAAGTTCAAAGGGACACAAGTACGGTATCATTCGGGACAGTGCCCAGTCCAATACTCAGAGAATATTGGACCGGCAATAGAGCATTTTGATTGGTTGATTTTAGTTATTGACCCTCTGACTGCCCGAGTCATGTAGTAAAATTAGTTATCTGCATGTTTTCTGATTTGCTCCAAGATCATACCTTTCTCATAAACACACCTTTTTCTCTTCTCTACATGTTAACAAAAGAAAGAATAGTTGTGTTTGGAACAAAGAGATGATAAGTTTATTGCGAGTGGTAACAGTCGCAATTGCAGAAAATGCTGTAATATTAAGGTTCGATTTGTTGTGGATTCTTGTGTTAGCTTGAATGGTTTTTTTCAAGTTCTTTGTCACTACTATCAAGTTCTATATAATTCATTCACAAATGCTTTCTTGTTTAGTGCCCTATTGTTAAAAAATATTGCCAAGAGAAAGAAAAAAGAGAAGTGAGACTGCTTGCGGAGCAAGATTCAAATTAGTAGCTTCTGAAGTCAAATTTATAGCAGCTAGAATGCATCCTAGCATTGTAATAATGAAGGTTTGACATGTTTGGCTCCAAGGTGTGGAATTCTTCTTTATATTAAAGTGAACCACTGTATTTACTTTGTTTCAATTTTTCTCCAAGGTTGTCTTTGTACAGTCCATTCAGGACAGTGAAACTTTAACAGTTGTTCCACTGGATGAACAATCCGACACCTTACAACTCACCCAGTCTGTTGACCAGTCAGATGTCACAACTGTAGTGTCCACTGCCGCTCATTTAGGCACAAGTCTTCAGGTGTTAACCTCAGTGTCGTCCAGTCTTGCCAACGAACAGCAACAACTTCCGCAGGAGCTGACAGTGAAACAAGTGGAAGCTATGCTCAGTCAAAGTAAAACATTTATAGTAATTTTTTCTAATTCCATAGTTTGATCATTGCCAGAAAAACTGTTGTGGGTGAAAGTGACTGATGTTTTGCAAACCTGAGTAGAAAGCATCATCAGAGCCAAGTAACTTTTGTGACCATGTTTTAAATAGGTTACATTTTTCTCATTTTATTTTCATATCTGTTTATCTTGACTGCCATAGCCTGGGAGCATACCCTCATTACCAGTGCTGCAAGATGTGTATTTTCCCCCTGCAGGATGATTTGAGATGAGTTGGGGAGAGGGTCACTGGGGTCTGGCACTAATAATCAGCTCCTGACCCCCTTGCAGACTTTTCACAGGCTGGTCTTTTAAGGCTCAATAGTTTCACATGGGTGAAGAAATGCTTGTGTTGACGCATTGATAATGAGGGCTCTCTTACAGGCCCCTATTGCTACTCTACCCTTACAGAACATACATCTTAATGGTACTAGAATAAGACCTGGGAGTGTAAGAGAGTTGTTTCATGTGGGAAACGAAATCATGAGCAGGTTTTGAATGTCTACTTAGAAGTGGTGAGGAAGGTACCTTTACTACTTTTTCCAGGTGAGGAAACTAATCAAGACACCTCAATAACAACAGAAACCTCCCAGAGCAGTCTCCCAAACATCAGTGAGGTAAACACAGACATGTCAGCATACACTGATCAACAAACCACTGATATCAACATGGAGCATAGCACAGAAACGGAGCATGCCCTGACAAAACAGTCTGAAGAGGAAGCAATGGAGTTTGAACAGTGTCTACAGGTTACTGATCTCCAGATGTCTCAGGAGGACACTGCTACAGAGGTTGCTGAGATGGAACAAAGTAATCTTCAACTTTCTCCAGTTGAGTCATCTTCTGCAGCAGGGCAATTAATTACATGTACTACCACTGCAGGCAATGTGGTGCAGACTTCAACCTCACAGTCCATGGCAGATCAAGGTTCTTCAAAACTCCTCATGATTAATCCAGTGAGCAAACCATTGTTTATGGATGATGGTACTGGCACTTCCCAAAATGATCAGAGAGGAAAAGCTGCTCGGCAAGATACTCTAGTGTTGGTTGATGCTGCATCAACACCTAAAGGAGACGATCATGTCTTCAAGGTTCTGCTTAATAACCTATCTCCTGCTACCAGCTGTTTTTGTCATCCATCTGTTCTGAACGAAAAGAACAATTTAGACATCCAGAGATGTAAGAACACCTTTTGTGACTGCAGGTTGTATCACTGTCCTCTGTGCACCTGTTTGCCCAACAAACCAGGGAGAATAAGCGAACACTTTAAAAAAATCCATGCCCAGGATCTCATTGTAAGATACCAAGGTGAGAAAAGTGTTTTAAAGTGATATATATATTTTTTAAAAGTACCAAAAACTTGTTAAAATAACATTCTCTTTGTCATTACTCTCAGCCAGCTGCTAAACAAAATGTTGGAGCCAGGGGTATCCTGGGGTTTCCACTCCATCCAGCCAGCCTCCAGATAGAGTATCACTCCCATGTATGACAAATATTTGCCTGGGACCCAGCTATAAGCCCCATTCCAGGCATCCATCAACTTAGAATAGATCCTTGGAGAGAAGAAAAGGTTTGGGTAGGGTTGGGTGGACAAAATGTAAATCCAGCTAAATCACTCAGGACTACTGCAAAATAACTGCATGCAACTTTCTACCCATCTATGTTACAGGTTATCAAATGCTACGTTGTAAACTTGGTTGTTCCCGTCCAAGTGGGACCAAAGTGTTTAATTCCCACTATCACTGTTGCTTATGTGGGGCAATCTGTATAAGGAAGTCAGGGGTTTATGAGCACATGAGAGTGAACCATGCCATGCAGCCAATTAATAAAGAAGCTCTGTCACAGCTGCCACAAAACCAGAGAGCAAAGTGTGAAAGCATGCCAACAAAGCCAGTGGTTGTTCAAGTTCCCACACTTTCAACTGGACCTGCAGGAACTGGGACCCAAGTAGTCCAAAGCACTCAACCCCAGACTCCATCAAGCGAAGGCATGTTTACAGGGACTGGGACCAGTCCACAAACAGTGACTGTTCAGATACCTCAGCAAAGTTATGTTGACACACAGGGACAGGCACAAGTGCAGGGGCAACAGCACGTTGTCATACTGATGCCACAGCAGGTTAATCCAAACCAAGTGCAATCCCCTACGGCCCCTGCACAGCAGCCTATTGTCATAGTAATGCCGCAGGCAGGAGGAGGTCAGGTCACTCAGCCTATTGTTGTACCTGTCCCTCAGCCTTCCAGCACTTGAACCAAGAAATTTCCATCATGCTCCATATCTTCTGTTGTGGCAACTATCTTAAGACAAAACTGCACACCACAGAATGTATTTGGTATAGTTTTGTTGTTTTTCTTATTAGTTCAATCATGAGTAGTATGTCATGTTGCTATGGCTCTGTTCAGAAACAGATCACAGAGGACATCAAAATGTGGTGAGAACAAAAAAGTGGCACTTCATCAGCTTCTGAACAAACACATGACAACATGGGATCTATTTGTTTCAGATTAAAAAAAGAAAAAAAAAAAAGCAAAATGTTGTTACTGGTGACATCACCTGTGCATCAATCCTCATATTGATCATAAGATTGAATCAAGAAAAATGCATGTATTGGTCAGAATATTACATAAAAATGATTATATCATGCTTCAAGAAGTAAGCAGCAGGGCCAATAACATATTCCAGTAACAAAACTTGATTTATTTTTTTTCATTCCCCTAGAATTTAATTAGGGGTTTAGATTTTTAATGAGAGGATGGAATTAATTTCATTTGCAATGTTTTCTGTTTACAATAAACTTCTAATAAATTATTTGAACTATTTTTTTCCTATATTAATTTTGTATCTTTTGATCTGTGATCCAGGTCAAACTGGTCGAGCAGGTTTTGAACTCATGTTGTATGTTATTGTCCTCTGTGAAGTACTTGGATAAAAAACAAAGAGTAGCAATTGTAATGAGCCTAACATAACACCTGTACCATTGGGCACCTGAAAAAGAACAATAAAAAATTGATTGATATTAATCTGATGATTTGTCACCTTTGCGTATGTCTTCGTCGATGGTTAGAATTACAGTTTCACATCTTGGGAGGAAAAATTTTCT